GGATAAAAGCTTGTGGTACATGACTTTTTCAAATATTTTTGATAATACTGGAATCAAAGTGATAGGTCTATAGTTAGTAATATCTGTTAAATAAAAATACGCGATGTTTATTTCGTAAAATTAGAACAGCGCCATTTATATACTCCTTGGCGAAACTAACAGTTGACACTAGACTATAATTCCGAATTCACAACGTGACAATCAAGACTCAGCTTGTTTTGTTTATTTTTCTTCATGAAAATGCGGAAAAATAATTGAAAACAACGTAATTTTAATAGATTTCATTATTACATACCTACTTTTCTTTTTTTGGCAGTCAAAAAACTCTGAATGTAAATAATATTAAGTACTTTAACATTATACTACGATAACAAGGTTCGGAATATCAAAAAAGAAAGAGATGGCATTATACAGTTCATACAGCGTTATTTCTTTCCTATTTTAGTAAGGAATAGACAATATTGGGAAATCATTCGTTCGTTCAGTCACTTTAGTAATAATACGTTACTTGGTTGATAGATTTGTCATGGTACGAAAATGAGTAATATTACAATAAGCTTACATTGAAATAAGATTGTTTTTGAAAAGGTTATGGTAGGCCCCCAGTTCCCACGGCCACGCCTGACTGAGTTGGTTAAGTCATCAACCAGTTTTATCTAATATTAACGCAAACCATCGTATTTTTCACTATAGGTAGTTACAAAAGTTACTAATTAAATTAATTATTTTTAATTTTCCAAAGAATATTACAATTAACGCTGCATATGTTTTAAAAAATATTTAATTTTATTTTAATAATTTCAGTTTCTATTAAATTAAATTTCTTCTTATCTAATAATGGAATCAGATTAAATTAAAACAGTTTTTTTATTAGTTTTGGAGTCTAATGTCTGCTTGGGCTTTTCATCAGAGGAACTACATGATCCCAAACTCCCAAATAAAAACTGGTAGTACGGTGATCCCTGTTGAAATAAGGATTTTTTTAATTTCAGTTGCTATTGCAACAACCTGGGTAGATAACGGACTTCTTTTGCAAGGACCTGGGGTTTGTCGAACTCAATCGAATGTGTAGGTTTATCCATGGCAATCTCGCAGTCCACAGACTTTTGTGTATTGTAATTGTGTGTAAGCTATGTGCTAAAGGAAAATAAATATCATTAATATATGCAAATTATTCATTAAAGTAATACACTCTCGTAACTTTTTTTCGACAGGCATGCGTGTAATCATCGAAGTATTGTAGGATCATGCAGATGAAAAAAACAAAAGTAAATCCCACAACCGTGGAGCATGACGAAGCGAGTGTGGTTAATGAAATCGTATAAAGCTATCAACCTGTCCGATGAAACATAATGACCATAATTATTCATGATTTCTTAAAATATTTATCGATATTTTATTATTTTGTGTTCTGCTGAGTAAAGTATGACTACTTTTGGACACTCGTTCGTTAACGGTCTCGTTGTAACTTTTCTTTATTGACTTATGCCACTACCACAAGTTTTATATCGCAAATTATATTGGGTAGGTACCACACAAGAAAAGGAACGTTTTGTATGCAAACATTATACGTGGTCATTGTAAACTCATAGTAGAGTTTCTAGTCTCATTCCTAGACTTACACTCAGAGAATTAACCGTAGTCTCTATTTCGTATTTTTTCTTTTTCATCTTCTGTTAGAAGCTGCTTGCCACAAACCTTGTTCGTAATGTACTGTATTGTTTCTACGCTTTAGATTCACTGTCTACCCCCGGTCCGCTTTGGTAAAGAATGCAAGTAATGGTTTTCGCATTACACTTATAAAGGGAGATAGATTTATCCCAAAGATTTCATAATAAGTAAAAAAGGTAGATACGTTATGTGCACCGCAACTAGCGCTAACAAATGGCACCACATTGAAACGTCACAATAATAAGTACGCAATGACTCTAAGTGTGTAAGTAGTTTTAAAAAATCTCATAATATGACGACATCTTTTGTATTTTAACCGAATGTCTCGGACATTTCTGACATTCGGCAACTTCAGGTGCAAAGCGAGATTAAGCTTAGGTGGGCTCATAAGCCAACTTTTAGCATGCCTTGTCTGAAGCGTTTATACATAAGGCGCACTATAAATTTCCGGAACTGACCACTTACATAAACAATATTTAAAAAGTATTGACAACATTTGAAAATGGAACTCTTTGGCTGTAGAATACCGTTTGTTACATTTTTTTAAATTTATTAAGGCTTTGGCAAAGCCATCAGCCTAAACATGAAGTTTAATTGTTTCTGTACATATGGCCGCCACAAAGAGGATAGACAATTTGAGGCGGCGTGCGTCGATTGACTCGGGATTCCTTAGAACGGGCTGATACGGGTATTTTAGTTCGAGATTCGTATAATTTCGCGTTTTAATCTTAGATTAAGGTACAATAGCACTATCCTATTCCACTTTAAACTGGATTTCACAAAGTAATTGGAAGTCAAAATAAAAACGACACTTTTCCCTCCAAAAGGCCCAGAGCAAATCCCGTTTGTTTCATCTGACTGTCACTTGTTTTTACATTGTGGCGTCATTTTAGAAATTAGTTATCTACAACATCATGGATTTAACTTGTGAAAATTTTCGTAGTATGATTGTCATCGCCAAAAACAGTTTTCACCATGCAGAATTAAAAAGCGGTCGTGTGAATGTCAGTGTCGAATTTCGTGATGGTTGCCCGTCCACTGCTATGAACAACAAAAACATCGATGCTGTGCGCCGTATGATGAAAACAGACTGGCATGTGACATACCTTGAGATTCGGGCATCTTTCAAATACAATCCATAAATACTACACAAACATTTGGGTGTGAAAAAGCTGTGCTCTCGGTGGATCCCACACAATTTAACTAACCTCAAAAAACGGATCGCGTCACTTGGTGCAATGCTATGCTTACCAGATTCAACGAAGCATATGGGTCTTTCGAGATAAGCCGAAACCAACCAAAGAAGCACGCTTGCAAAGTGCCTCTAAGCGGATGATTGCTTCTTTTTTTAATAAAACTGGACACGTGGCTACTGTTGCTTTGGATAATCGTTGTACAGTGAATAATTATGGGTATATGACCATTTGTTTGTCGGAAGTTATTGACAAACTCCGTAAACGCCGTATCATCTTGCACCACGATAATACCAGTTCTTCCATACGGCCAAACAGACAAATGATTTTTTGAAGGTGAACAACATTGACCTCCGTCCCGACCTGGCACCTTGTGACTTTTATTTATTTCCAAAAATTAAGAATCAGTTTCGCGGTCAACGATTTTCATTTCCTGAAGAGGCTGTCGAAGAGTATGAAAAATATGTTTCAGAGATTGTCACGGAGGAGTGGCATAAACGTTTTCAAAATTGGTTCATTCGTATGGAAAAGTGCATTATCGCTAACGGAGAATATTTAGAAAAACAATAAATTCATTTCTGACCATTTATTGTATTTTTTCTTATTTATTTCGGGAACTTATAGTGCGCCCCATATCTACCTTTTTTTATTTATAAAATGTTTGATCTAAACTCGTAACTTTTTTCGCCAAATAAAAGTCATTACAAATTATTTATTGATTAAATTTGTAATGAATTGATATTGAATTGTTTTTTGTGAAATTACTCCTTAATTTTTAATTAATAATTATTAATACAAAGATACATCCGATCGCAAATGTGAGTTAGTGAATCCGACCGGATCGAAGGAATCTTTCTATTAATAATTATTTAATGACTTTTTATATTCAAAATTATGCATTGACATTGACATTAAATACACAGTCATATTGACTAATAATATTTAAATTAAGTGTACTATCCCTTCTTCAGTGTCAATTATGAACATTCTGTAGCACGTGTTATTTGTCTCTACATATAAGTGTTTTATGAGACAGTGAAGAAAACGTGAAGCAAAGTTCAGTAAACAATTCGTTTTCGTGCTTAAACTAATATTTCTTATGATCCCGGTCAAATTCAATAACTCACATTTGCTTTAAAGTCTTGTTACCTACCACAACCTCACCTCTGATATTTGAAGGATGATACATGTTTTAGATTTATAGATGTTTCAAGAACTAAGTCTGAAATCAGGTATGTCATTTATCAAATCGCAGAATGAGTTTAGTAGAAATATGAGGCGATGAACTTTGGTGGTGTCTGCAATTGAAATTGCAAAAGTGGATTGCCCAAATATTAATAAGTTTTACATAGTGATTAATTTACACACTAAGTTATATTCTTATGGAGACGGGTGTTACAGTAAATAAAATTAATGTTCAAGAACAATAAGGCGCGTTTGCGTTACTGCATCCGATTCGTATTTGTTCCGAATCCGAGATTATACAAAATCTAGAAAATTCGGACACATGGATGTTGCTTGTGCACTAAGTCCGAGAAATTACGAATATCGCTTGTACACCTAGATATTTCGGACCTGTGATATTTCGGACCGTCAATTCTCGGATTCGGAACTGATATGGATCGGACGTAGTGCACACACGCTCTAAGCCCAAGAATAAGATCTAGAAGATTACATTCTGTTACCCTACTGTGTGTGAAGCGTGTTCTAGGTTCCGCTCTGAATTATTCTTACCCAATAGTGGTGACATCCTTATCGACTTATCGATTCAAATTTTAAAATTCAACAACAAAATTTTTTTAGGGCTTTTGTGATCTGAAATCGTCGTGACACCGTACTGTAACATGTACGACATTTGTCACGTACAGTCTTTTCTATTCTTCATTTATTGAAATAGGTACCTATATCGACAAAGAACAATGTAGGTGATAAGATATTAATTCAACTTTTATCAGTATATGAGAAAAGAACACGGACCCGCCTCTACCTTTAATTCAACCAGCTCAATCAGTTCGGAAATTTGGTATGTATGTAGGCAGACTTTCTCCGGGTGAAACGGGTGAGAAGAGAGGGGCGCTCGACCTTGTTAGAGGGAGGCTGCCACCTGCGCAGTATCCACTATCCACTTGTCACTCTCCGACCGCCGCGAGCGCACCGTCGCGTTCGAATTTTCAAACGCGCCGCGCACGTGTATTCAACATTTTTTTTAATAGTAATAAATACTGTGGACGAATTTTTTGTGTGCGAACTGTGAGTGTGTTTGGGACCGTGGTGCCTTGTTGGTTTCTTGCTGGGAGGATCTGAAGGTATGTTTCTTATTAATGTGATACGTTTAATATATTAAGTTAGATATAACAAGCATTTGTGCAAAATGAAAATTATTAAAAAGTAAATTAAATGTAAAGTACGTATTGTATGTGAAATTATCCTTAATTTTGCAATTAAGTTATTGTAATTATTATGTAATCAGTTGGTAGTAAATCATTAATACATTTAACAGCTTAAATTTAAGCAATATTGATAATTGTCTTCAGTGTGTAATGTTCCACTTCCTTTGATACTAAAGTTCAGCTTTTTGTAGTTGTCTATGTAATTTCTTAATTATTTCATGTAATAGATACAAGCATAAAATGCTTATTACATTAAATACTTAATGTATGGTAGAGCTGTATGCAAATTTGGAACGGATCACTGCATAAGTGTGTCAAGTTGGTGCCGCTGCGCGCGTCGCCCGCCCTCCAGCGAGGAAATTTCATTCACTTTTCTTTACTTGCTCTGTTGTCCGTACTACACAACTGTATAGTATTTATTAGTACCTTAAGCTGTAAGTTGTAAGCTTGTAAACCGTCTCGACTTATTTTATCTATTACATATATGTTATAATGAGGATAGTGTTCGTACCTTTGGTATAACAAAGCCACGTATAATGACAATCATACGTCAAAAGTGCTTTTGGGTAATTTTTAGGTTAGTTTTCTCTACCTAATTTCGGTGGCAATTTTTGTTATTTAAATATTCTAAAATATTGTTATGAAGTATTCAATACTCGAGTGCAGTATCTTGAAATATTATTTAATATTACACGATAATATACACCATAATCAAAATTGATGCCGAAATTAGGTAGAGAAAACTTATCAGAAAATTACCCTTTTGTTTCATGAAAATCATAAAAATAATACGAACTATATGAAATAAATTGTGTTAAACAGAGTGTAAAACAGAGTGTTTTTTTAAAATCCGAAACCATAGAACATACAAGGAAGGAAGACACAATATATGTTAAATTTTGTAACTCTTCTATTCAAGCATAAGAAATTAGCGACAAATTTCGTTCTTACAATCTTTAGGCCCCTCTTCTGAAAAGTTGTCATTTGCAGATGTGGCCTTCTTACATCAAGGATCCGAGTAATTAATGTTCTTTTTTAAAATTAATGGTCACATTGAAACTAAGTATATAGTGTAAAAATAATATCTTTACCAATTTAAATTCATAATTATCATAAGCTGGTGTTATCGGACGTATTAGAGTACTTTCTCCTTTGTAGTATTGATTATACAGTGATTGTTTTGGCAGAACATCATAAACGAGAAAGCACTTATTTTTTACTTTTTGTCGTAAGTAAAATGGTGTATGTTCTTAGCCGACTTCAAAAAAAAAGGAAGAGGTTTTAAATTTGACTGTATTTATTTTGTGTGTTACGCGATTACTCTGGCGAATTTGTAAACCGATTTCGGCGATTTTCTTTTCTGTTGGAATGAGGGTATCTCAGTATTTGTCCCACTTAAATTTTAAGAAAATATTCGACCTCTAAGGGTGTGAAACTTAACTAATAGATGTAATTACACAAACTTTGAGGTCGCATTTTTTTTATAAAAAAGTTATTCCAATTTCAGTTTTCTAGAACAACTGGTTATGTAATGGAAAACAACAATTTGATTTTTTATAAATATATGAGGTATTTAAAGATACAAGTTACAATATTCAAATTTCGTGTAACCACCATCGCAATCACAACTACGGTTGAAAGATAAAAGGAATAAGTAAATTATTCTGCATAATAATAATACTAATAATAATACTAATCGCCGATTCTTGGACCCGAGTCCCTGACCCCGGCCGACTGGGCCATTGCCGGGAAATACCGCGTCTCCCATTTAAAAATTTAAAATGAATCTTTTAGGCCTTGGGAGAGGCGAAAGTTTAAAATAAATACTAATAATAATAATAATAACACACACACTCAACATAGCCCCGCACGAGGGAAACCCTGTGTCGCGGGTGCCATGGACTTACTCATAAACAACCACAGATGACACCCAAACTCGCAAGAGAAATAAATGTAGGCCATACAAATGTTTCTCCCGGCCCGGGAATCGCACCTAGGACCTCTGCGTAGCAGTCCGGCATGGTAACCGTTCTGCCATTTCAGGCAGTTAATAATGAATTAATTATATTTATTTCTTGTTGTAAATTTCAGATTTGAAAATTTAAAACGCTCCACAGGACAATTTAAAAAATGTCGCTTAACCAGTTTCTCGATATGTACAGTCAACAACACATCAATGTACACACTTTTGTTAGATAGGATATATTCATTTAGTACCAACGCCTTTCTCATCATCTCTGTAATCAGCATCTCTCTAACGGTGAAGAAAAATGTGAGAAATTCACAATCCACAATGGTCTGGACTGTTTCCTCAGAAGGGACCTGTGCCCACCAGTGAGACGCATAATTTGTTGATGAGCCCCTTTTTCCTTTCAATCATCGATATGTATACACCTAAAACCGTTAATCGGGCTTAAAAAAACCTCATTATGTCAACAAGACGTGCACGCAGCCTCTATGCGTCTACGCATCACTTGTTCCGAGTTGCGTAAACGTCTGGGACATTGACTTCTCTGTTACCTTGACTGTGGTTTTTCACGGTCTATTTTTTGCGCTTGATGACTCTTTATCACTTTTGGGTTCCCTAAAGTTACCATTTGATATTTAACACATAGTAAATATTTTGTCAGAGTAATATAAGTCTAAATTTATGTTGACGGAGTATAAAGTCAAAATATACATACCGTACTGAACAAAATACTGATATGAATGTACAGGCAATTTATATAGTGTGAAAACTTTTTGAATAACTGTAATGTGGGTAAAACTCGTAAGAAAGGCGGTGACCCAGTGGGAGAACTGTTTCAATATAGACGTCGATGTTTCGAATTCAATTTGAATCAGCATGTATCTACGACTTTAGCTTCGAAAAAAATGTGTCACACAACCACACCGATTACCTGGTCTCAAATTAGAGACTTACCTGTACTGAGTACCAGTACAACGGAATTTAATTCGGGCACTAACTACAACCCGTGCCAGAATCAATTTCAATCGAACCGGGTCCTCCTCATACAGAGCCCACAGTGCAAACTGGTGGACCACCGAGGATGTCATGTATGTTAAGTCACGTAAATTTCGTCGGTGTTTTGTAGAAAGAGCATATAATAAGCATGTTTTAGGTTTTAACAACTGTATTAAAATATTTATGTCCTGTTTTAAAATTAAATTTTAAAACTTAAAGTTAATTAAAACTAAAATTTAATTTCAAAACTGGACGTAAATATTTGAAAACAGTCGTCAAAACCCGAAACATACTCTCCTGCAAAATCTACGCAATGTCACTTACGCCTCTTGTACAAAACACCTACGATTTGTGACTGTTTTACTAAACAAAAGTAGCAATAAATGCTTTTGATTAAGGGTGAAGGAAAACATAGTCATGAAATTATTTGCATAAACTGTACATCAAAAAAGGCTTAGAGCGAGTTTCCCATTAGCACTGAGGAAACCTGTGCCCGACATAGGAGTTCGATAGTAATGATAAGAAAAAAAACAACAAACATACGGAATTAAAAATCAAGTTGTGAAATAGCTTGTGGAAGCAGGTTCATTAAAGATATTAGAAGTAGGTGTACATATTAAAAATTGAAGATTATTTACGCCATCGAGTAAATAACCAGAAATATAGACGAAATGTCATTTAATTTATTTGAAATTATTCTGCCAAATCATTACTGTGACAATTGCGCTCCGATTGGCCAGCCCGAATTCGAAACAATTGACGGGTGTCGTCAATTGTTTTACTTCAAATCGATCAGTTAACTTGAGCTTTGCTATAACGGATGAAAATTGCAAAATTACATATTTAATTACCGATAAAATTTGATTCCGTTTATTTGTAATTAGATGTTTTGCTGTTTTTCCCCACACCACCGAATGGAACAGCATGCCATTGTTAGAGATATTTTCTTTATTACAATAAATACAGAATATTTTTGGGATATACAGAGACGTACACACATGTCAGTTGTTGGCGCTATACTATTTCAACTTTCTAATTTGTAATTTCAGTGCAAACAAGAGTTGATATTTATAAGTGATGTATCACTGATTAGTTACCAGGAATATATGGCCCTTATTTCGTCTCTATTTCTGGTTATATACTCGATGATCTACGCACAACTTTATCCGAGGCTAGTAAAAGTTTAAATATATTTATTCACACAACCACTTTTTAACTGTCAAATTACAATAGGTACGTCGCCATGACATCACCCCCAGAGCGTACAATATGTTCGATATTCACAGTTTGAAATTACAATCAGACTCTTATTGCCATTTCCCATAATATGCACCAAAACAAGGAAATAATACTAATTATATGTAAAGAGGTTGTATAACCTGTGCCAACCCAAAACAGATGACATTCTTTAAAAATCTCGGTCAAGTTCACCTATCGGGCAAAGTGACGAAAATTAATTGCACAGACCTCACGTGCGTCTTACCTTACATGAATGCATAACGCTATAACAACATACATAAAAGGAGCCCTCCATACAGAGCATTGTTATGTCAAACTTCTGCGGTTAACGTAACTTAAATGTTGTAATTGTTACTTGGTAACAATCGAAACCTTTCAACTCGTAACCATTGAATTTCACGGGCAATTTTCCACCAGTCAGGCCATTACGCCGTAGTCCAATCACTTACATTCACATTTCACACTCTACTGTGTTGATCTATTCGCTAGTTAGACTCAACTTTATGTCCCATTAACTCTTTATTAACAATTTGTTAAACATCATTTTGGTAATGAAAAGATTTTACGGATTTTTTTTTTCATTACCAGGAGAAAGCGGTTCCAAAACCTCTCGAAATGTAGTTTTGAGTTTCAATGAAATGAACTGAGAGGTGAGAGGGATTGGACATGCCTTTTAATTACATAGTGGAATCAATTAATAAATTGTCATCTT